AGCAGTTCGCTGCTGTTCCATGAGGATTCAGGGAGAAGCAGCCGAATGGCGTCGCTTCACCTGGAGTCTCGATCAGACGAGGAAATGAAGCCATGATGGGATGAGGAAACCAGGAGGAAGTGATGCAGAGCGAGGCTCTGATTGGCTGGCTGTCGCCCCGTTCCTCTGCAGCTGTCCGTTCTGTAATTAAATGAAAGCAGAAAAGATGTAAAACAATCTGTCTGAAGCTCTGCAATCAAACTTTCACTGCAGCTGTTATTACTCTATTATCTGAGAGCGTGGACGGTTTCACGGCCCTAAATTACAGGGAACCGGATTCTCTGGTTTTAGAACGACGTGTCTGGTGTTAAAGGAAGTGCAGAACAGAGTTTTGTCTGACTTCCTGTGTTCGTTACGCTCCCAGTAATTACCTGTCACACTCCTGTTTGCTGCAATCACTGTAATTTTCATTCAGAATGGATGACGGCTGTCAGATTAGTCGTCGGGTTCCAGCAAGGCGACGCTAAGAATAAAGCAGATTAGCCTGTCTGCTGCGCGGCAGATCAGGGAACATCGACGCTGATCAGGTTTCAGGCAAAAAGACAAAAAAATCAAAAACATTACGGCAGTTCATCTTCCATCATGTTTTTTTGTTTGCACTTTGACCTATCGCGATAGAAAAACCTTTGAACCCGAGATGTTCACAGGAACCGGTACCGACCGCAGATCCAGAAGGTTCTGAACGTTGTTGATCTGATTAAATCAGAACCGCAGGAAGAGAAAACAGTAAAACTGCTGAAGGTTTCTGTTTCTGACATGAAATATTAATGATGCAGCGATAACAACACAGACCTCACACCTTCGACCCAGATAAGTCTCAGTTTGCCTCTTAACCATCAGGTGTGTGAGAGGCCGCCTCTGAATGACCTCTGACCTCTGCAGAGCAGCTTTAACGATGTCAGATTCTGTCAGATGAAGCTGCTCTGCAGGATGACAGAGATGGGAATAAATTATCTGTTGTGATTTTTACATGGGCAGAGATTTAACACTCAGCAGCGCCCCCTCAGTCTGGGTGGAGAACTGCACCATGACGGTTCTGTGTGTTGAGGTAAATGTGGATTGATGACGTGACGTTTGCTTCATTCATTTAGTCTCTCAGCCTGCTGGGAGCCGCTCTGCGTACCGCCACGTCTGAATGTGTGTGTGTGCATCATGACACAGTAATAATTCATAAAAATGTCCGTGGTGTGAATTTGTTTTCTGTGTCGAGTGGGTCGGATCCGGTTAGGTTGCATTCACACTTCACTCCTTTTATTTGTTCAACTCGGTTCATATTTCCCTTTTACGTTGTGTGAGTGTGGGCACATATTTCTCTGAGATTAAAAGTGTCTGTTTTAGTGTGTGTGTGTGTGTGTAGGGAGGTCACAACCTATTACTCATGGTGAGCTGTGTTTACTTTCATCTAATAGGAACAACAACAGTGATGGCTTCCACCACATTATAAGTCGACAGATTAACCAAACACCAGATGAATCATGTTGGAGCAATGGACTCCTCTCATTGATTTCTGCATAGATTTAATAAGAAGCCCCCAGCAGACCAGACGATCCCCGGCTGCCATCTAAATTAAGCTCTGCAGGATGTAATCACACCTTACTCTACTAAATGGGTCGGATCAGCTCGTAACTGGAGGGCCCCAGGCAGAGTCAGGGGCCTGCAGCTTCTAACAGATACTGAGGTTTAAAGAACTAATCAAAACCTGTAAATATAAAAAACGCTTCACCTTTAAAAAAAAAGATGTTATCAGATTGCTGGCAGCTGAAAAGCTTTGTTTCTACAAACAAATAAAATATGTTTTCTACATATTTATTAAATCCACCACAGTGTGGGACGGGACGATGATCTCCTCCACCTCCTTCTGCTCCCACCGCCGTCACAACCAACCAATCAGAGGCAGGAGGAGGGTCTCAGCACTGCCAATCATCTTCATGTAAATGCTGCTCATAGCTTCCCTCTTGCTCTCTGCTACACTACAGCTTCTTCCCAATAACAGAGCCTGACATGAATGCTAATGCTAGTTAGCATTGCTGCTAATGACAGATAAACACTTTTCCTGGAATGGTAAGTCATTAGCTTACCCTACTACTAGCTTTCCCCACTTACTAGCTTAGTAATGTTAATTTGTGTTATTAGTATTGTTTTCTTCTCCTCTCATTAAACTGTAAAATTAGTCCTTCAAAACAGGCTAATTTGTGTTCAGCTAAACATTCTGCTAATGCTAAAGGTAGCAGCTAGCTTTGCTAATACTGTTAGGAAAAAGGTTGTTTCACGTGAGTCATTCGGGGCTGGACTCATTTCTTCTTCTACTGTTATTTAATATCTAAACTTCATCAGGCAGATATTCATAAGCACACACTGAGAATGAAAACTATTTATTTCCCAGTAATCAGGCGGTGCCCTGACTTGGTAACTTTGATATAATTACTAATTTTGTTAATAATTACTGCTGACATTTATTAATTGGCAGTCTTTGCCCAACCAGACCTTCAGCTGCACAGCAGCCCTGATCTGTGGATGCAGAGAGGCTGGAATGAGGAAAATAAATACCAACAGCCATCAAGGAAAGTCTTTGAGGAGAAATGAAATATTTTCCCAGAATCCATCCTGCTTTGCCTTTTTTCTAAATATAATCAGTAATGTTTCTGTCTGCGTGTTTGTTCACTCGTTAGCTATTAAATATTAAATCATGTTTAGTTTCGTCCGTCAGCCATGAAGCTCCAGATCAGAATCTTCCAGCTGCTTCAGCCGCAGAAACCCGACCAGACTCTGAAACGTCCTGCAGCCGTCGTCTGCCTGCAACATAAAGCTGCAAATAACAGGGAGACACTTCAAACAGCATATGTTGGGATAATTAGCAACCCAAACAATTAGCATTTTAGACACCTCACCAATTATTTTCAGTTCTGTTCCAGAGAGGAGGAGGCGGAAGGAGAGATGAAGAGGAGAAATGAGGAGCGACTGAAGACAAGCAGAAGGAGCCAGACAGGAGAAGGAAATTTAAAACATTCTCTTTTTTTCAGGGCAGAATCACATTTTTTTTATTTAAGCAGGAAGGTGAAAAATACTCAGGAATATTAACTGATGGAGGAAACAAGTGGTTGTTTCCTCTTGTCAGAACCAGACAGAACCAGAGTCTCATCTATCAGAACCGTCATCGTCACCTTATGTTTAGAACATGTTCAGATTCAGTTAAAATCATGTTGAGATCAGGTTCATGTGCTGAAGGCTCTACTTTATCTGATGCTTTCATACTGAGCAGTCCTCAGCTTTCTGATTGGCTGCATCTTGACCAGCTATCCTCTCATTGGTTCAGAGAGCCAACAAAATGTTTCGAAACACAATAATTTAGTTTTGATATATTCAGCAGTCCAACAGTGAAAATGTTTGATTATCCGTCTTTTCCTCCAGTCATTCAGATCCGTCTCAACCTGAACCGAATCAATTCTGACAGACTTTAGGGATGATTCACACCGGCCCAGTTCGGTCCACTTTAACCAGTCTGTCTGCCTAGTCAAAGTCCGGCCCAGTTGGTGAAGTGTGAATGCTAACTGACCTCTGACTTCTGGTCCTCCAAGTCTCGGTCTGGGTTCGGTTGAAGTGAACTCTGGTTCGGTTTGAATGTGAAAGCCAAGCGGACCAGAGACCGCTCCAAAAGCAGGAAGTGGACTACAGCGCAGGGCATTCTGGGTAAATTCACCCAAAGCTAACCTGCTAGCCTAGTGCTAGCAGCAGAAATGGCTCCTGGTCTTTAGCCTAAAGAGAAATCCTCCAACCGCTAAAATCCTCCATCTTGTTTCCATCTGGTGAAGAAGGAAGTTGCTCTCAGTGTCTTCAGAGATTTTCGTGTCGATTTCCTTCAGTGGTTCTTGGTGCAGCGCCCCCACAGGCCAGGAGGGGAACAGGTTGGTTTGACTCAGAACCACAGCAGCTGGAGGTGGAGCAGATGATCTGGGTCCAGTAGAACCGGGTCGACCGGACTGAAGGAGGGAAACAGACCGAATCCTTTCTGCTCATTTCCACAGAGACTGGGTGATGAATCGTAAACTCTGCTGCTGTTTCTTCGTCTCGTTGGTTTCTGTTAATCCTGCAGACTTTGACTGTGGGAAGGTTTTCCATTTTCAGGATCTGGTCTCTGCAATGAGCTGAGCCAGAGTAACGTGGACCGATCCGTTTCTACTCGGACATCTTCACTGAAAGACGTCCTCATGTTGTGTCTAAGCTATCGCAGTGTTTTCCCTCTGATGATCAGGAGAAAGATAAATCTCACATCAGCGTTTAAACATTTGAACATGTTGGTGGTTACATCACTAAAACCTGAGGTCTGTCTGCGTTTCTTCACCCATTAACAGACATTTACATGAAAATCTCAGAACTGAAGTTTTCTCCAATAAGGATTCGGGAAACCATTTCCTGTTGATCATCAGTTTTCTGTTTTCTGCCTCGTCCTGCAGGATGAAATATCAATCATCATAACTGATGGGAATCAGATTCCTCCTTCAGATGAAGCGGGAATCGGTCCGGATTTCTTTCCTCTCAGGAGTTTTCCTGCTGATTCGCTTCGGTCCTTTCATGTCTGCTTCAGATCTCGGATTGATCTGTTCGACTCTTCAAGCAGCCGAACTCTTTGATATCAGACAAACAAACAGAATAAAGCAGAAGCCCCGACGTTTCTGTCAGTCGAAGAACTCGGACATTTTTCCTGGAGTTTTTATAAACTGATGACTGGAACAAACTTTAAGTAGGACAATTATTATTTCTAAATCCACCTGGACAGTTTATAACAGCAAAGCAAAGAGGAAGCGCATCTCTTTGGTTTTGTTTGGTTCATGATGAAACCTTTTGGGTCACCAGAACTAAACACACCATATATTTAAAAATCTGCTCTGTCATCACAGCAAAGCTGCTCCATGATGCCGTTTACAACCAGATGTGCAGTTCCTCCAGGCGTTTGCTAATTGCTGCTGCCGCTAGTCTAGAGGAGCAGTGAGGAGGAGAAAAGGTTCAACTCTGGTTTATATTTATGACATTTTAACTGGAATACATTTATTAATTTCACGTGTTCCTGATTTTGAAATCAAAACTGGAGAAAAATGTCCGACTCTAAGCTGATCCGATAACTTGAACTCAAACTCTGCAGGTGTCCCAGAATTAAACTTCAGGAGGAAAAACGACGTTTCTCCTGGAATATTTATCATTTCAGTTGTTTTCTTAGGAGGTCAGCTGAGTGCCGTCCTGCAGCAGCTCTGTGTTTCCCTCAAAGGATTCTGGGTATTATGGGCTGGCAGTGTGGGACAGCTCACAGCTGGAGCGTTACCAGTCCGACACCAGGCCCGGTCCAGCATCCTGTCTGATTCCCGTTCAATCCCTTTAGAGCCGGGCCAACCATCTCTGGCCGCTGTGGCGCCTCGTTTGTGTTGCTGCAGACGGCGGCTTTCAGACCTCTCAGGTTGTTTTCACTCTTACACTCATTGTCTGGGTTCGTATGGAGCAATCAGGTTCTATCCACTGAAACTGAAATATTGCCTGTATTTCATAAAAAACGATCATCTGAGCAAATTCTTTAACTCCCTTCCTGAACTTTGACTCTGCTTTCTGTTTGGTAAAAAACGCAACCAGCAGGAATTTAAAATGTTTCCAAACATGACAGCAGTGGCGCAAAAAGCCACAAAAACAAACAGATTTCACTCCAACATTCAGACGGGAAATCTCACGAGATCAGACGGGAGTTCAGCGTAAACAAACATGGCCGACGATTTGAGTAACGGCAACAGAAAAATAAACACAAAACCAGTTTTTCCATCAGAAAACATCCAGTCAATCCTCAACCTGCCGTCGCCATGGCGACCGCCACATCCAGCTGTTGTTGGTGTTTGGTTATGTTCACCTCAGGACATCTGCTGACTGAACATCAGATGTTTTCAGGTTTCCACACAAAGTAGAAACTGTAAAGAAATTTAACTTTAAGAATAAATAATATCTAAAAACCTCCAAAAGCTCAAAGTCAGACTTTTAATAAAATCTCTGTTCAAACGTTCACAAAGTTTTCCAAGGACGAAGTCAGAACAACTTTTAGAGCCTTTCTGTCCCTGCAGAGACACGCACCTTCAGACAGGATATGAGGTCACAGCGTGATGTATGTCGCCATGCCAACCCTCAGTGGGCGGGCCTCTGGACCACACGGGCACAAATAAATCTCTCGGCATGCAGTGGCTGATGTGATGGCGTCCAGGTGAGCGCGGCTCTGAAAGCTGCGTCCTGTTGATGCTCAACCCAGAATCAACATGCAAATCGGATTAAAGCGCCGGATTGAGTCCAGGTTCTGCAGAATTAGTCCAGTCGCTCCTTCGGACCAGGTGGAAGGAAAAGCTGTCTGACTCCAGGTCCTGGAGTGAAAGTGGGCAGTTAGAGGAATAAAAGGTGAAAAGGTAACGGTAATTTTCTTTATACAGCACATTTTCAATGTGCAATACAAATACAAAGTGCTTAAACGGTAAAAACACAAAGTGAGTTTCAGTGAAGGTGATTCATCTGGTGACGGATTCACAGAAAGTTTTTCTAGTATAGAAAATGCAGATTCAGCTCAGCACTAAAACTGCATTGAAACTTGATTTATTCTGTTATGTTTCATGGCCAAACAGAGAATCTGAGTCATTTTTTCACCTGTCCAGGAATAATTAGATGAAATAAGCTTTTATTGCTCTGCTGCTGTTAGCAGTAACTAAATCAGTCCAGAGTTCTGCTTTTACCTGCAGTGGCTCTGAGTGGATTTAAATTAGACTTTATGAGGCAAACTGGGATAAATTGGGTTTTTTCACTTAGAGTTTTTGGGGAACCAGAACTCCATCATCTGCTCCACCTCCAGCTGCTGTGGTTCTGAGTCAAACCAACCTGTTCCCCTCCTGGCCTGT